GGTTGTGGACAAAGCCTGACCCTGACCCTGACCCTGGTGAGATGGGCAGCTTATGGGAAGTGGGGGACCAAGGCTTGTCTGCCTGGCCAGCGAGGGTCACGTCCTGAGATCTTCCTGTGTGCCCCCCCATCCTCCACAGGCTTCAACACCGTGGTGCTCTTGAAGGGCGCTCCGCCTCCACCTCCACCGGGTCTGGTGCCCCCTGTCAGCAAGCCACCCCCTGGCTTCTCTGGCCTTCTGCCTAGCCCCCACCCGGCCTGTGTCCCCAGCACTACGACCACCACGAAAGCGTAAGTGTGGGTGGGCCACCTGGCCTCATGCCCCTGTGGAGGGAGTGCCCTCACCTTGGGCCACTCCAAAGGCTGAAGCCTCCACCTCCTCCCTATGTCCCGATTCCAAACCCAGGCCAACACCCGTGCAACGGGCCTACCTGATCCCCGAGAACTTCCGGGAAAGGAACCTGCAGCTCATCCAGTCCATCAAGGACTTCCTGCAGAGCGACGAGGCCTGCTTCAGCAAGTTCAAGAGCCACTCGGGGCAGTTCAGACAGGTCAGGCAGGCGGGGGTGTGGGGGCCAGCCCGGCCACCTGGGGCCCAGGCCTGGGCCAGGTGTGACTGGGTCTGGCTCTGGGTGGCAGGGCGTGATCTCCGCAGCCCAGTATTACAAAAGCTGCCGGGACCTGCTGGGGGAAAACTTCCAGAAGATCTTCAACGAGCTGCTGGTGCTCCTGCCCGACACGGCCAAGCAGCAGGAGCTGCTGTCTGCACACACAGGCTTTCGAGGCCGTGAGAGGCCTCCCGGCACCAAGGCCAAGAAGAGCAAGAAGAGTGCATGGCAGGCCAGCACCCAGCAGGCGGGCCTGGACTGCTGCGTGTGCCCCACCTGCCAGCAGGTGCTCGCGCACGGTGATGTCAACAGCCACCAGGCGCTGCACGCTGCCCGGGACGACGACTTCCCCTCCCTGCAGGCCATCGCCAGGATCCTCACGTAGCTCCGGACGTAGCTCCTGCCAGCGCAGGCAGGAGCCGCCACACCCATGAGCCTCCTTTCTCCCTCCTCCTCCCTCTGGGCTGCCAGGCAGCCAGGTGAGGCCCTGGTGAGGCCACCCGCTCAGGCCCCTCAGCTGGCCGGCCTGCCAGGGATCACCAGGAAGGCCCGCACCACCCTGTCAGTACACCGTCATGCAGGAGTCCATCTGGATTTCTCGTGGGAACTGGAGAAAGACCCCTGCCTCAGCAGCAGGCTGGTCTGGGTTTACATTCTCATGCTTTTGGAAGGTGCTGGGGAGGGAAGGGCTGGGATGCCAGGACCTGTGTGTGCTGTCAGAGCCGGTGGCCACGGTGGCCCAATCTGGGACCGCCTGAGCCTGAGGGCTGCGGCACCGTGGTCCCTGAGCTGTGGGGCCACGGGTGCTGGAGTCAGATGTTGAGTGTGTTGTGTAAACAGTTGGCTGTTTCATTATTCAAGAACGTTCAGGATTAAAAGCAGACACGAAATTGTGCTACTTGAAGTTGAATCTTTTTACGAGACTAGCTGAAACTGGGATCTCAAATTGCCTCTGACCTTTTATAAGACAGTTTATCTTCAAATAAATTTATTTTGCAATAATGCACATAGCTGAGCTTCTCTGCCTTCTGGGGTCACCCCACTCAGAGTTGTCAGACACTACAGCTCAGGTGGTCACCAGTGAGTGCTGGGGCGGGGAAGACCTGTGGGGAGAGCTGGGCTTGCTCACAGGAAGAAGCAGCCAACCCTGGGCTCCAGTCCTGGAGGTCGAGCACCGCCCAAGCCTTCCAGGAGTAGAGACAGCCATGCTTGACCTACACTGTGTACCCAGTAAAACTATTCTTCCAGAACCTGAGAGTAACACAGACTTGAGGTTTCAATCCATAGACCAGTGAAAGAGCTACTAAAGATCAACAAGAACCATTTAGAAACAGTGCAGGGCATATCTGAAATACTGAAAGAAAATAATTTGTACTTAATTATTTGGATCCAGTATTTTGAAAAGGAACCAGACACCCAGTGAACTCTCCCCTTTCTGCCACAAACACATATAAATAGTAGGAAAAAAGGTCTAAACACATAGCTATATCCAAATAAGGCAACATCCTTAGATGAAAAGAAACAGAGATGTCTTTCTAAAAGAAGCAGAAGGGGGTACCCCAGGTGATGAAGGGGACGTGGCCTGCAGTGGGGCCAGGCCAGAGCCACACGGCTGCATGGGTACTGCCTATCTGAAGCCGAGGGCCTGCCTGCCTGTGGCTGAGACTGGAGCAAGTTCCTGGGTGATGGCCATGCTCGGAGCCCACTAGGAGACAGAGACTTCACGCTCTTCACTCTCCATGGGACTGCCTAGAGGCCACCTGCATTCCCCACCACATCGGAGAAGCCCCTCATAGCTGATGCCCTCTTTGCAGACCTGAGCACAAGCAGCACCCCCAAAGAGTAACCTGGAAGATGAGCTCTCTCATTAACAATACTGAAAATACCGATTCTTAAAGACACACACACACACACACACACCCCTTCCCGCACCTTTGATGATGGCAACTACTATTTTCCTTTTCCGGAAGGGGAGCCTGAGGCACAGACAAGCTGAGAGATTTGCCCAGAAAGACCAAGCCTGAACACGGCCAAGCCAGCATTCCAGCTCCAGCTCTTACCTGCTTCATTCGACCAGAATGTTATTAACCAATAAGTCAGAAATGAAAAAGTAACTAAGAATCCCAATAGACAAATTCAAAAGTAAACAAGACCAAGCTGGGGAAATCTCCAAAAGGGAGTTGGCCAGGGAATGTGGCTCTGGATGCTGCATGGTACACATGGTGGTCTCCCAGGAGCAGAAGGCGGTAAGAAGCAGACATCTGGAGAAATCACGACTGCTTTCCCCAGCACTCTCCAGAACACGGGCATCAGCCTGGTCTCCACCTCCCTGTGCCCCTTTCTGGATTCTTGGCCCTGGTGCCCCTCAGGTCCCAACCTCTGGCACTGGAGGGGCAGGAGTAGAAAGGATTCCAAGAGTGTCTGGGCCACAGTAAACTCATTTACAGTCTTTATTGTAAAGAAGCTGCAGTTGGAACATGGGACACTGAAAATACACAATCACAGATTGTTCTTTCAGAAGAGGGAGGGACAGACTCATATATACAAAAATTGTAAACATGTTCACTTAAATATCCACAAATAATTGGTCTATGCTACAATGTACAGGGTTGTCACTCAACTGCAACTCCAGAGGGAGGCGACTGTCTGTAAAAATGTAATGTGGCAACCGCATTTGGTATTGACTTAATGTGAAAAGCCAGCTTTGAGCAATGCATGAGTACTCAGCTATGCAAAGGGACCCCCAACCTTGGGCTGGGCCTTAAAATGGGGTGCATTGTGGGGAGCTGAGGGACTAGTCCAGGGAGCCGAGGTAAAGGGGTTTGCGGGGAATGGCTGTCTCCAGGGCACGGTGGGAAGGTGAAGCCTCTAGGCCTCTCTCCTCGTGAGGGGTGTGTCCTGCTGGGCACCCAGATGTCTGGAGCCTCCCTTGGGCAAGGTCTTACTGAAGGGCTGGGAGAGGGCTGATGTCCAGGCCTACAGCCATGTTGTGCTTTCCTGGCCAGAGCTGCCCACACCCCAGCAAGGGCCTGGGCCAAGGCAGGTAAGGGCTGGAGCTGGGGCCACAGAAAAGAGGGGCTGCTTGTGGGGAACTACGAGGTGAAACCTGAAGACTTGACCACAATCACAACATCGACAGGGCTGGGCTACTCTAGTGAGCCTGTAAGAGGAAATGGAGGGAGGCTCCAGGCAGAGCACATGGCCCTACAGGGTGAACCACCAGGACAGAGCAAGGACCACTACTACCCACAGGGACTGGGGATGGGGAACAGTGGCCACGGGGTGAGGGTGGTGTCCCTTCCCCCAGTCACCCCCAGTCCAGGGCAGCCCCTGCACCTGGCTATGGAGGGCAGCTGGACCCCTGACCCCAGAGTGTACAGGTGAGCCCTGCCTGGCTAGCTCATGAGGGGAATGGCCCGCTGCCTAGGCTGGTCCACTGGAGGCTGAAGGACACGTGCCCAGGGCTGTGCTGTTCTCTCCTCAGGACCTCTGGCCCTGGGCTGGGGACTAAAGGGACTGGAGGAACTTGGGGGGAACAGCCCAGGCACCCTGGAGGCTACCCTCTCTTGGCCCCAGATGGCCCACAGCATCCACACGTTGCTGCTGGGCCAGGAGGACCTGAGGGAGGTCCCAGGAAGCCTTGGATCCTGCATTGGTGGGGCAGCCTTTGTGCCTTGGTCTGGGCCTGCTGGCCACTAGTAGGCAGGAACCTGGTACCCTTTGGGGCTGGTGTCCAGCGTCTCGGTGAAGGGCGGGCTCTGGTAGGTCTCGGTGCCCTCCACACCGCTGCCCACTGGGTAGCCTGGGTAGGTCTGGCCCGTCCCAGCACCCAGCTGTTCGGTGGCAAAAAGCGACATGTCGGTGCCCAGACGGAACCGCTGCAGGGCCTTCACGGTAAGCGCCGCCTGAGGGGGAGTCCGGGGTCAGCGAGGGCCGACCCTGCCCCGACCCTTACCTGGCCCCAGTCCCTGCCGGCCGCAGGCCGCCGGCCGCACTCACCCAGCTGAGGATGGAGAAGAAGCTGAAGGCAATGGCGGCCCGCGCCGCGTCTGCCGCCTGCGTCGTGCCCGGCCCGGGCGCCGTGCGCTGCCACTGGTTGGTGAGGAAACAAAAGCCCACGAACCACAGGAAGGACCAGAGCCCTGCGGGCAGGTGGGCGGGCGGGTCAAGGGATGCTGCACCGAGGCGCCCGGCCCAACTCTGCCAGGAAGGAGAATCCGCAGACCGAGAATCCGACCCGTCCCGCCCACTCCCGCCCCGCCCGGGCCTGTCCCCGCCCCAATCGGCTGAGAATCTACGCGCTCCCTCTGGCCCCGCCCCGAAGCCCTCCCTCCCGACTCCGCCCACCCGAGAAGCCCCGCGCGCTCCCCAGGCCCCGCCCCTCAGGCCCCGCCTACCTGAGAAGCCCAGGTCCAGCAGCACCGCGCGGCGACGGTCGCGGACGCTGCTGATCTGCTGGAAGCGCACGTCGAGCAGCAGGAACGCGACGCAGGCGAAGAAGGCCCCAAGGCCGAGCGCGACGCCGAAGCGGCAGGCACCAGCGTTGCCGTTGAAGACGCAGCGCAGCTCCGGGCCGCTGTCGGCGTTCACGTAGCCCTCGTTGACTATGGGCCCGAAGACGGCGATGGAGAACACCTGTGGGCGGTGGGAGCACTCAAGGCCCTGCGATGGCCCCTTCCTGGTCGAGGCCCGAGGTCTCCTAGCCCACCGTGAGTGCCCATGCCCTCGGGAGTGTCCCTGCGTTCCCCTGCAGCACAGGATCTCTGGGTGGGGGTCTTCGGGGACCCCCTCCCTTAATATCTACCTCAAGTTTAGTAAGTATGGACAAAACATACCATTTAGTGAGCATCAACTGTGCCCAGGCACTGTGCGTAAAATGGCTACATGTGTTTGCTCATGGAATCCTCCCAAACAACCACAAGAGTGCCACTGCTCTTATCCTCTTTGTAGATGGGGAAATCGGGGCTCCAACAAGTGAAGTGCCTTGTGGAGGGTTGCATGGTTGATAAGAGCCAGGGCTGACATTCAAGCTGGGTCCTCTGTATCTTGTGGAGCCCGTAGTGTCCCCCATGGCCCACTCCAGAGTGTGGGAACAGGAGCTTTCACCTGGACCAGTGATCCCCAGGCTTGAGTCAGCAGGGCTAGGGGAAGTAGATGTGGAGTCAGGCAAGAAGGGTGGGAGTATGGGGGGGCAGGCAGCAGAAGGTCAGCTGCACAGAGCTGTCAGCCAGGACCTGAGTGGAACCCACCCTCAGCATTTGGGAGCTGTGCAGCCTTGTTTCCTAGCATGCCAAATGTAGCAGGCACAACTCATGGGGTGCTGGGGACAGGAATAATGCCCACCCAGCATCCTGCACTTTGTGGGCACTCCAGGGATGATGGCCCCACATGACTGTGGCTAATTAACCCATCCATACGTGCTTGGGCTTAAAAGGCGACACCGTTGACCTCTGGGGTTCAGTCAAACCTCAGTGCCCTGTGCCCACGAGGGCTGGAAGGCAAAGGAGTGGACCACAGTCCTTTTAAACCAGAAGCTGCTCTTTGAGCTCTGGGCAGCCCTATATTTCTAAAAAAAAGACCTCTAATTTCAACTTCATTTCTCTCCTTTCCAGCCCCAGCTCCTAGAGACTTAGTCAAGAGTGAAACCAAGGTGCAAGATATGGACACGTACCCACAGATTGGTCCACAAGTCAGGTCAAAGCTGGGACCAGAATGTAGGGTCCCTACTTCCTGGTCTGGCCAGAGTCACTCCACCCAAGGGCCCCTGCCCCACTCTGGGCACCGCCCTCCTGGAACACAGGTGAGTACGTGCCACCACCAGCCACCACCAGGTGGACAAAACCCAGAACTCAGCATTCCACCTTCCATCTCTCCTGCCTGGAGGGATGGGAAGGAGGAGCAGGCCACTGGGCCTAAGGTTGCCCCAGTAGGCTAGGCTGCCTCTAAATCTGCCCCTCCCACACCACCTCCAGGAAGCCTTCTCAGTGTAGAGCCCCTTCCAGCTGCCCCACTCAGAGGAATCCCAGAGCACACCCCCCAACTCACAATTGCAACTGGGGGGCCTGGGAATGGCCAGCTCCCTTCGAAGGAGCCGGGAGAATGTGCGTGCAGAAGTAGGGGGTAGGCTCTGCCTGATTCTCTTGGCTCCGGTAGCCCTTACTCGTGCTAAGGCTGAGCGCTCAAGCCCCTCCGCGAATCCCGCCCCCACCCCTGTGCCCGCTTCCAGGGTGTAAGCACATGAAAAACCGAGCGAGGACTGAGGAAGGGGATTGAGTTAGACCTAAGGAAGAATTGGGAGGTGGGTGCGGCGGGCAGTGACCTCTCAAGGTACCCGGCTGTCGCCGCCGGCCCCTCCCCCGCCCGCAGGTGGGCGCGCCCTGCCCAGTGACGTCACCCCAACCTGCGGCCGGCGGGGGAGGGGCCGGCAAGGATGAGGAAGGGGGCTAGAGGTAGGTGATAGGGATGAGGGAGGCGAGGCGAAGTGGGACGGGGTATCGGGGCGGGGCTTGGGCCGGGGCCACTCACCCAGGACGCGATCCGCAGCAGGGTCTGGGGCCGCCGCGCGAAGCTCACAGGGTCCAGGGTGGCCCCTGCGCGTCCCGCGCCGAACGAGGCTCCCTCCATGGCCAGCCCGGGCGGGCCGCGTGTCCCCGGCGCCCTCTGTCCTTCTGTCCGTCGGGCCGACCCCGCCCGAGGCCGCCCGGGGCTGCTGCCGATGCTGCCAGTGCTGCCGCTGCCGTCGCCGCCTTCCGGGAGTGCGCGCCGGCCGCGGCGGGGGCGCGCGGGGCGGGACCGAGCCTACACCCCCCTCCCTCTGGTCCACGCGCGCAGGGCTGGAGCACTCACCTCCCTCCACCTTGCCCACCTTCCACCCCACCCCACCCACTCTCACCGCAAGACCAGGGTCCGAGATGGAGACCATCCGCCAGGTCCCCATCAGGAGGCGGGGTCAAGGGGCTGAGTCCCCCACGTCCACTCACAAGTAGTCAGGAGTCAGCAGGGCAGGTGGACACTGGGCTCAGCCTTTGCCGTAGCCACGTGGGTGGACAGACCGACATGACCCCACTCCTCTGTACAGGGCCCTTTCCTGAGTGCCTAAGGAGGTAACAGGTCCAAGGGCTCCAGCGTCTCCCCCAGCCCTCAGGGAAAGGGAACCCAGCTTCCTGCCTCTGGTCCCCATAGACCAGAGGGAGGTTACTGGGGCCTTTCCCATGACTTCCCACTGCACCCTAGCTTCTCCTTCACATTCTATCCTCCCTAACAGGGAGGGAGGATGGCCTCTGCCCTCAGGGGCACTTGTCCAGGCAGGCAGAGCCCAGAGGCACACATGGGTGGGAGTTGGGGCATCTCTGCTCTTTTCCTGTGGTTGGATGTTGTCATTCCGAGGGTGCTCACTGAGCCCTGCACACTCCTGGGTCTCCCCAACTGACTTTCTGCTGACATATTTAGTTTTGGGCCGAGGAGTGGGGAGAAGCATCAGAGATGGGGAGTTGGAAGAGTGGGTACCTAGCTTTCCAGCACCCCCGCTGGGTCTTCGCCACAGATGGCCCAGCTCCAGGTTAGACAAGGTCCCTTCCTGCATGTTCCTTCCAGGCCAGCCTGGCAGGGGCCCAGATGACTCCTGTTTCTGTCTAGGACATTGAGGAAAGTCTGCATTTGTTGAGCATTTACAGTGCCAGGTGTTTCACCACGACCTGTGGAGGCAGAGACTGTTTTACTGCCATTCTTCAGATGGTAAATAGGCAAGTGGGAATTCCCTGGTGGTCCAGTGGTTAGGACTCACGCTTTCACTGCGGAGGGCCTGGGTTTGATCCGTGGTCGGGTAACTAGGATCTTGCAAGCTGCACAGTTGGCCAAATTGAAAAAAAAAAAAAAAAAAAGGGCTCCCCGGTGGCGCAATGGTTAAGAATCCGCCTGCCAATGCAGGGGTCACGGGTTCGAGCCCTGGTCTGGGAAGATCCCACATGCCGCAGAGCAACTAAGCCCATGCGCCACAACTACTGAGCCTACGCTCTAGAGCCCGCGAGCCACAACTACTGAAGCCTGTGTGCCTAGAGCCCGTGCTCCACAACAAGAGAAGCCACTGCAATGAGAAGCCCACGCACTGCAATGAAGAATAGCCCCCGCTCACCACAACTAAAAGAAAGCCCGCGCACAGCGAGGACCCAACGCAGCCATAGATAAATAAAAAATAAATAAATAAATAAATTTAAACAAACAAACAAAAGGCAGACTGTTTGAGTTCCTTCATCACACTTAGAAAGTGAAGAGCTGGGATTCAAATCCAGATCCCTACTGTGCCAGGGCAGGTGTGGCCAGAAGTGCCACCCACTAGTTGACTCCATGACACTGCATCCAATCCTATCACCTCTCCCCTGTCAGTGACAGTTTCCTCTCTGTCTCATGCATCATTCATTTCCCCCTTTTACTTGATCATTTACATCAGTGCCTAAACCTGCTCCATTCCTGAGCCCACTTCCCCTCCAGCTATCACTGCTCCCTTTAGTCCCAGGGGCAATGCAGCCACTGCCATCCTGTCCCATCCTCCTAGGAATACTTCTGATGTCACCCTCTCCTCGTGTTCCACCGACTTCATGGGCCCTTTCTTGTTGTCTCTTTCTGGTTCCCTCCTCTTGTTCCATCTGTGACCTTTGAGCCTTAGGGGTCCCAGGGCATGGTCCTGGGGCTCTTCTCCCTGCTCTATGCTCACTGTCTTGGTCTCCATGCTAACAGCTTGAGCCAGAATTTTCCCTTGAACTACAGTCCCACTCATCTTAGCCTGGATACCCTGGAAAACAGAATCTGTGGCAAAGTTAAAGAGTTTTATTGGGAGGTGAAACTTTGGGGAAGCCAGAGTTAGGGAAAAAGGAAAGTGAGGCAGGGAAGGAGGGAGAGCAAACATGGACGGCGTGCTCCTGAGCTGACCACAGCTTTGCTGGCTCCCAGCGCACAGGTGACTCGGGAAAGGCCAGAGACAAGCCCTGTGCTGGGGACGTCCATCTGTAGGAGGAAAGAGCAGTGACTTCTCTGCTGGTTGCTCCCTGCCTCCTGTTTCTTTATGTCACCTGGCCCCTTGGGCAGCCCCTGAGGAAGCCAGCACCCCCGTGGGGCCAGTGGGGTAAAGATGCCAAGGAGGCTGTGCCAAAGGTTGACCCCTGCCCAGGGAGGAGCCGAGACACTATGGGGAGAGGTGAGAGCTGTACAACCACAGGGTACGGCGCACTGTTGCTGGGCCATTCCAGCTGGGAGCCAGTACCTGGGAGCAGGTGTGGCTGAGAGGGTATGTGAAGGCCCAAAACCTGGGTCCAGGTCACCCCCAAACCTGCTCCACTCACAGCGTTCCGCATCTCACTGATACACTAGGCAACTCCCTCCTTCCAGCGGCCAGAACCCCACAGCCACCTTGGGCTCCACCTTCAGAGTGTATCTGGTGAGGCCTCCCACTCATCCTGGGGCGAGCTTCCCTCTCGGCTGCCACAGGGGTATCTGCCCCCCCCCTCCTCTCGCCCACACCTGCCTTATTCCAGCTCAACAGCCAGAGGGACCTTTCAAAAGTCACATTTTGCCGTTCCTCTGCTCCAAACCCTCCACTATGTTCCATGGGAGCTGGGTGTTAAAACCACATCCTTGCTGGGGCCTTGAGGACCTCCTGCCATGTGACCTCCCCTCACCTCTCTGATCCTCCCTTGGCTCCAGCAACTCAGCCTCCTTGGTGTTCCTGGAACATCCTGGCCCACCCTTGCCTTGGAACTGCTCCCTCTTCCTAAGGAGCCAGACCCAGATAGGAGGAAGCAGGAGACCACAGAGGGACGAGGGCAGGCCCTGTCCATCGTTGCAAATCCCAGCACAAAACACACTGAGGCCAGGTCTTCAGTCACTTCTCCAGCATTTTATTTTTGGTCTCAAGCTCCACGGAGCCTCCTCTGACAGTCCTGGGACGGCTCTGCGAGGCCATGAGCCAGACGGAAGGCGCACAGCAGAGCTCAGCCCCCAGGCCTCTTTCCTGAAGTGCAAATGGCACACAGCCTCTGCGGCTACCGTCCCTGTTGTAACCCCTAGCTGTCCCTAGCTACAAGATGGGGAGACAGTGGCCTGGCCCGGAGGGGCGAGACAGGGGAGCCCAGCAAGGCCTGTCACCTTCCTGTGCGGGGAAGTAGGCAGCAGGGTGTCAAGTGGGCGGGAGGCCAAATCCTAAGGAAGGGACAGCCTAGGCTGCTCCTGCCTCCTTCACCTGCAGCACCACGGGGCGCGGGTTGAGGAGGAGGCCATCGGGGTGCCTGCAACGGGTACCCCCACTTACACTCAGAACCTGAGAGGGAAAGGGCTCCACGGGTAGCGTCTGGGGACCACCCAACTGAGACAAGGCAGGCTTTGGCTCTGACACGCACTTTAATAAGCCCCACCCTCTCTGGCCAGGCCGCCCACAGGCTCTGGCTGCCCTCTAGTCACAGGAGCCGTCCTTCCAGCCGTCGCGCCAACGCTCGTCCACCAGCGAGCAGTTGAAGTCCGGCTTGCCTAGCTTGTGGTTCACCTCGTTGTGCAGGCGGCATAGCCACTGGGTGAAGCAGGCCCGAGTGCGAGTGTCTGGCTGGTTCCTGCATATCCTGCGTGGGGGGGAGCACAAGGAGAAGGATGGCAGGCAGTGCTCCCACTGTCCCCGCCCCACCAGCTCCTTGCCTGCTCAATTCAGGGAGGAGAGCTGGGGCACTGCTGTGAGCTACACCCAGAAGTGCCCTCATGCTCTGAATTCCCAGAAGGGGGCAGACCCTGCAGCAGCAAGGCCTGGTGGACTCCTAGGCCTGCTCAAACCCTCACCTCCGGAGCTTTGCAAACCCTGGCAAGAGTCCTGGGCAAGACATTGAGGCAGAGGCCTCAACTTTACAACCTGGTAACAATCAGGAATCCTCACCCCAGCATCCCTGGCCCCAGGCAGTGTGTGGAAGGGGTGGGGTTGGCATAAAAGCAAAACTGAAAAACAGATCTGTTTCTTAGCACCTGTGGCCCTGTTGCATCAGCTCAGCAAGAGACCTTGTTCTAAATGCCCAGGCTTCAAACAGCAAGGGCTGCCCTGCCCCCCACATCCATCCCAGAAATGCCATGGGTGCCAAACAACAGTTCTTGGGCTCCCCAGTGAAGAAAAGGTGGCTCCTGGAAGCAACAGCAGTGAGTTCCCAAGGTCTTGAAATTGGCAGTCCTGCTCCAGAAGTTAGGCAAAGTGGAGTCCTCCGAAACCTGCCAGAGCCTCCATCAGTGCTAAGCAAGGGATCTCATGAGGGAAGCCCTCCCTGGGAGCCTTGTGGCTGCAGAAAGAAGCAGTACCCAGCAGCAGCCCCAGACAGCTTGGCCTTTGAGGAGAAAGAAGATGGCTCAGATGATCCAATCCCTTCTCTGTTGGTGGTCCCTGCTCTCAGCAACCCTCTGCCACCTCTGCATCTTATTTCTCTAGGCTCCCCTTTATGACATCAGCCAGGGGTCCCAGGCCCAGGCTCCAGGTGGGATGCTCTGCTGCCTGCAGACTGTGCAGACACAACTTACCTTTTCCTTATGTCTTCAGCACACTCCTCACACGGGTAAAACTTGGAAAATAAATGTATGAACTGAGCCATATCTTGCTGCTGTTCTGGGGTGGGCAGGTCGGGATAGTAGGCCGCCAGGGTATGGAGGACAGACCAGCTGTGGCGGCCCAGTTCCTCGCGATCCGGAGGACAATCTTCCCTAAACTTGCTGTCCCGCTGCGGAAGGAGGCCGACAAGGGTCAGTTCGGTTTTCCCCAACCAGAAACCTACAAAGCTCCCCTTTTTCCCCCACCAGCCGGAGGCCCGCTGACTGGAGACAGAAGTCCTGAGGCCGATCCAGCCCACATGTGGCTAAGAGCCGAAAGGCCAAGGCTACCTTGGGGGCAAGGTTTAGGAACAGCCAAACCCGGGGGGCAAAGTCTCTCAGGCTTAGGGCCTGTGGGAACGCTCGGCCTGGGCCTTGGGAAGTCGGCCTGGGGTGCTTGAGAACAAGGTGTGGGGGCCGGGGCTAGGAGTCAGCAGGGCTCGCGGGCCTCTGAGGGGAGGTGGCGCCCCCCCGCATCTGCACCTTCTGCTGTGTCCGCATCCACGACTTGAAGTCCACGCAGGCCCGGCAGGGCAGCCTCCGGGAGGCGTCCTCGGCGACCTGAGAATCGGAGGCCGGCGCCTGGGATGGCGTCCGGGCCGAAGAGGCGGAATCTCTCCGCCCCGCGCCCCGGCCGCGCGCGTCCGTCACCAGGTCGTCCATCACCTCGGAGCGCGCGCCGCCGGGTAGAAAGGAGAATAGGTTCCCACCGCCGAAACTCCCCCGCTCGCCGGGCGCCGCCATGTTGCCCGCGCAATGCCTGCCGGGCCAGGTCGGCCTCCAGATGGGCTTCCAAGTCGGCCTCCAGGCCAGTGCGCGCGCCGCCGCCAAGGCGCGGCCACAGGAGCCGGGCGCGCGCGCCGCGGGCGCGGGCGCTGGCGCTGGGCCTGAGCCGGGGCTGGGGGCGGGGGCGGGGCCCGGGGCGGTATCCGGCATGGAGGCGGGGCTGGGGGCCTTGGTCTGCGCCCGGGAAGCGGCAGAGCCAGAGACAGGGGTCCGGGCTAAGGACGCGTCGGAGACCCGGGTCGGGGTGTGCGCGGAACCGGAGGCCCGAGTCCTGGCCGCGCCCCTGGGCCTCGTTCCACGGCCCGTGCCCGACCTGCGTCGTCCGTGTCTGCGCTCCAGCCTCCTCCAGTAGAAGAGCAGCGTGTTGTGGAAGACGCGCCCTGGCCGTGCCGCGGCCTCGGGCTGCGGCCTCGGCCATGTCCGTGTTACGGTCTTCGATGCCCCCATTGCTCCGCTCTGACCGTCCCGCGTGCCCGCGGCTCTGTGCCCTCAGTTGGGGGAGCGCCCAGCTGGGCCGTGAGCGCACAGACGACGTGCTGTTGGTGCCGGGGGTCCAGGGGTTCCACTTTGGCGACCGGCGCCATGGCAACGGGCGCCTGGCAACGCGGGGCGGGGCCGTGCCTGCAAAGGAGGAGGTGCGTCTCTGGGCTCCCGCGAGTACCGAGCAACCTCTCTCCCCCGCCCCGAATCCTACAGCCTACTTGAAGAGGTTAAACCCACGTCGGGAGTGGCCTCAGGGATACCTCTGCTTCCATATGTACATTAATTCATTCTGCAAATATTTGTGTAGTGCCTAATCTGTTCTAAGCACTGCTAGGCACTGGTCTGTGCAAGGAGCAAGATTTATCCGTCCGTGACCTCCTCAGCTCATAGTCCAGTGGTCAAGACGGAAAAAACAAAACCAAACAAACAAAAAAGAGTCACACTAATAAATGTTCAGGTACAAACTGTGATGGGGGCCATGAACAGGGCGTGGTAAATCTGGGAGGCCTCCTTGAGGAGGTGACCCTTAGGCAGTGGCCTGAAGGATGAGGAATCAACTGAGGAGGGCAGTCAAGGCCAAGGCAGGAGGGAGGAGGATCTTGGCTACTTGCATGGGCAGAAAGGCCAGTGGGACAGGACCCGGGAAGGGTGGTGGGAGGAGAGATCCAGAGGTGGCCAGGGACCCACCAAGGACATCATCAACTGCCATGGCAGCTGGGAATTTATTCTGAGGACCCTGGGAAGGTGCTGGGAAGTTTTGGGCAGGGTACCCTGGCCTGATCCCATTTCTGTTTTGCAAAGATTCCTCTGAAGAGTGGATTTCATGGGAGCATGTGAGGAGCACAGGCTTTGGGGGAGGATGGGGCTGTTGGTAGTTGTCCAGGTGAGAGATGAAGGTAGGGAGTGTCAAGAAAGAAAGAGTGGAAAGGATCTACGTTGCTGGGGGTGTAGAGCAGGGCCTCTCAGTTGGCATAGGGAGAGGCCTCAGCATCTTTCTAGGTCCCTGGCTGTGAGTAAGCTGGCCCTTCTCCCCCTTCTCTCCTCTGTCTTCCAAGGGAGCAGGATCTGTCCCACCCTGTACCCTACCAGGCCAGTGGCCCCCACTGAGATTGGCAAGGTGACAGCTGGGCTGAAGGCACTTTGCAAAAATTAGGCCTATGTCCACAGGTGTTCATTGCCTGGGCCAAGACTAGGGAAGGTTTGAAGGTTTCAGAGAGAGCCACTGGTTAGACAGATATACAAAGGCCTTTTGTCAAGGCCAGAGTGGTTTCCTGGAGGGATGCCATAGAGGCTGACCCCTCCCTCGAGGGCTTGGGGTAGAGGGAGTCTCAACACAGAGCTGGTGGCTCCAACAGGGGGAAGAACCACTGTGTGCCAGGGTTGGATGGGGCTCCAAAAATCTCCCCTATAAGGAAGCAGTCCAGAGATGTGGGGCACCTGGGCACACCACCTGCCTGGGGATTCTAGGGCCTTCCCTTCACCACCCCAGTTAGTGGGGGGATGGTCACTCTTGATCTCAGAGGCTGTGTTTACAGCAAACTATGATAAATCATGAATTCAGAGATGGCTCTCAAAACAGTCCTAGTCACCACTTCCCCCATCCCCCAAGCGCTGGTGACTAGAGATGGACCCTCTTCATCCTGCCCCAAGTCTCTCCACCACAGGGGAACCTATGGGGTAAAACTGTGACGTCCGCCTCTCCCCAGCACATAAAGAAAAAAACCCTGACAGTTAATATCCATTTAACACAAATTTCCTCCTCTGTGATTTGGGGACATTATGGAGACCTTTCCTCCAATGTGAGGATTAAGCCAAACAAAGCACTTAAAGCCTTTAACACTGGGTCACTGGTTCCTGATGACAACTGCAGTTAGCTCCCCAGGGAGTTCAAAGAGCCAAAGGGCACACCCAGCAGGTGGCTCTGACCGATCTCAGCACTACACAGGGTGTGGGAGAGCCGGGAGGTGTGGCCAGGCCTGGCGGCACTTTGATGGCTCTTCCTTCTCCTCCTCCTCCACCCACGGCCAGACTCCAGCAGGAGGGCCTCAGGCCGCAGTCCCAGCCCCAGCCCCTCCACTCTTTCTTTGCTTCCCACAGAAGCCCTGTGCTCCTGCCCCTCTACAGGCTAGGGGTGCGGTGAGGAAGCTGTGAAGGACCCAGTCACAGGCAGGGAAGTGCAGCAAGGACGTGGCAGGTCTGGGGCATCGCCGGGGAATTCCAAACAGTCTTCTGGGTACCTGAGGCCTCCCCTCCTCCCCACGTAGGCAGGGAGGCAGTGGGACGCTTGACCACACCCGACAGATTCCAGAAATCTGTGACGGAGATCTGGGGAAGCCACAGCCATGGCAGGCCCCCGGCACCCGGTGTCTGTGAGCGGGGCAGCTCTGGTACAGACAGACAGGCTCCAGGTCGGGACTGATGGGACCCCTGCCAGCCCCAAGGGAGAGGGAGGGAGTTCCTGGCCTAGCGCCTCCAAGAAGCCCCCAACCTATTTCATCTAACAGACGTTCGCCTTTTCCGTGTGCTGGTCGGATGACAGCGACACCTTCGCACGAAGAAGCTGGGAGGAGTTCAGGAGACTCCATGTGAGTGAGTTTGGAGCCACCCTGACTTCCCCCAACTGCATGACCCACCCGTGACCACCCCCCATTGCCTGCCCTTGTGCCCACTCGGGCTTCCAGCCCCTAAGATCCTGGAAAGGGACCCCCGCCCTCCCAGGGGAACAGTGGGCCCTCGGAGACTGACACGCCCCTTCTCGCCCTCAGAAAACCCTCAAGGAGACTTTTCCAGTGGAGGCGGGTCTGCTGCGGAGATCTGACCGCATTCTCCCCAAGCTTACAGGTCAGGCCAGCAAGGATCCCAGGAGGGGCGGGGGAGGCAGCAGTCTGATGTGGGGAGCCCTGGGGTGTGTGTCTCACGGTCAGTCCCTATCCTGCCCACAGATGCATCGTTATTGGTGCACTGGGGCCACACTGGCCGAGGCCTGGCACGCCTGCAGCTGCTGGAGACCTACTCAAGGGCGCTGCTGGCGGCAGGGGAGCGTGTGACCCACAGCCCGGTGCTCACTGGCTTCTTTGCACCACAACCCATGGACTTGGAGCCTGTGCTGCCAGCTGGCAGGTGCCTGACCCACCCCCAACTCTCTGCCAGCAGAAACATCTGGAATATGGGGGAGGCGGGGTGGAGGAAGGGCCAATGAGGGGACGCTTAGAGGCTGGACAGATGGACATCCCACCTCTCACCTGCACCCTCACCAGCCTGGTGATCCTGCCTGCCCCGCAAGAGCCCCTGCCAGGCCCCACGGGCAGCCCTGCCATCCGCAGCCAGGAGGCTCAGAGCCTGCACTGTCTGCAGCCCTTCAGCACCCAGGACACATGGGGCCAGCCCTTCCATGCTCGGGCCCAGGAGGCCCTAGATGTGCTGCTGCGACACCCCTCAGGTGGGCCTGGGTGGGAATCTGGGGACACACCCTTCTGCCCCCTGGGATGCCAGTGGGCCTCAGGAACTAAAACACCCCCTGCCCTTATCTTGGGCACAGGCTGGTGGCTGGTGGCGAATGAGGACCAGCAGATGGCATGGTTTCCTGCTCCCTACTTGGAAGAGCTGGCCCTGGGCCAGGGACGAGATGGGGAATGGTCCCTAGGGAGCAGTGGTGAGACTAACCCTCCTCCCCACACCCACCACCACGGGGCTGTGTTCGGCAAAGCTGAGTCACAAGCACGCAAGCCAGGGGAATGAGGCCATGGGACGACCAGGGGGTACCAGTGGCCCTGTACTGTGTGCTTGGTCCCCACAGTGAGGCGGAGCCCCACTGGGTTTTTTTTAAAATTTAATTTACTTATTATTTTTGGCTGCATTGGGTCTTCGTTGCTGTGCACAGGCTTTCTCTAGTTGCAGCGAGCAGGGGCTACTCTTCCTTGCGGTGCAGAGGTTTCTCATTGCAGTGGCTTCTCTTGTCGTGGAGTACGGGCTCTAGGTGCATGGGCCTCAGTAGTTGTGGCTCATGGGCTCTAGAGTGCAGGCTCAGGAGCTGTGGCACATGGGCTTAGTTCCGCGGCATGTGGGATCTTCCTGGACCAGGGCTCGAACCCGTGTCCCCTGCATTGGCAGGCAGATTCTTAACCACTGCGCTACCAGGGAAGCCCGGAGGTGGTGATTCAGCAGGAGATGATGCAGGGACTAAGAGGTGGGGCCCTGGCCTCTGTGGTGACCACCAAGGATCCGTTCCCAGGGTACCAGTTCTGTGCTTCCCATGCCTACGAGAGCAGCCAAGCCGATGAGCTGTCTGTGACCACAGGGGCACGCGTGCGTGTGCTGGAAACATCAGACTGTGGTTGGTGGCTGTGCAGGTGCGTGGGGTGGGGCTCTGGTGGGCCCAGTCTAACAGAGGAAGGGCCCAGTGCTAACCAAACCCCGCCCTCCCCCGCAGGTTCCGAGGCCGTACTGGTCTTCTCCCAGCTGCAATACTGCAGCCTGACGGGCTGGGCACACTCCTCAGCGGACCATGGCTCCACCTCAGGGTAGATGGTGGTGAGGACAGGGAGGGCGAGGCCCAAAGCTCCCCCAAGTCCCCCCAGGCCACGACCCTGCCGCCTACCGTGCCTGCCCGACCATCTCGGAGTGCCATTCAGAGCTGCTGCTGCACCATCACCCGTAAGGCACTGGAGCAGTACCCAGGGTGTCATGGACCCCCTTGAGAGTGTGTGGCATGTTGTGGAGGGCTTCGCTGTGCACCCCACAGCTGGAGCGGCAGGCCAGAGGCTCCAGACCCCAAGGATGGTGGCTGCCAGCCACATCAGCCTCAGGGCTGTGGGATGCGCAGTTGAGGGTGGGACTCCCTGGCTGGTGGGGCAAGGAGACTACACTCTCCCTTGTCTTCTGAGTAAAGTTCTCCTGACTGACCCCCACCCAGTGTCTGTGCTGAGGGGCAGGGACTGGGGGATCTTGGGCCAAAGTGTGGGGGCAGGGCTGGCTGGTGGGCCCAGCCTCGGGCTGGCCCAGGCAGTGGTCCAGGACCTGGGGTGAGACAAAGCCCAGACAGACACAGGGAACTGAGATAGCAAAGTACATGTTTTGGTGGGTTTCAGAGGGCCGCGGGGGCCACGGGGAGGGTGGGCAGCTTCATGTTGTGCCATAGGAAGTCCAGAAAGGTGGCTGCCTGCAGCATCCGGCTGAGCCGTTGAAAGTGCCGCTCTGGGGGAGGACAGCAGGCGATCAGGGTAGGAGTCGTCTGGCTGGACGGCCCCCTGCGCCCACCTGGGGCTGGGTCTACATACCAGTGTAGGGCAGCAGGGCCTCAAGTGAGGCCCGCACACCGTCGTAGGCCAGCAGCTCTTCCGGGGCCTCATGCCGCAGAAGCACGCCCAGCACGGCCTGGGCTTCGTGGCAGTGCCGTGAGTTGGTGTTCCACGTGACACAGAAGCGCAGCAAGGCCTCTGTGGGTGATGGGGACCGTCAGACCTGCCTGCTGGGCCACCCCAGCCTTACTAGGCACCATCCAGCCCCAACCTGCCTGCCCCAGACCTTTCTGGTCTCGCCGCAGTTGGAGCACCGTGGCTTCCAGCTTCTCGCAGGACTCAGGGTCCCTTTGGATAGCTACGGGAGGAGAGAGGAGACTGAGCTCTGGGGAAGGGGCACCACGGACCCGAGAGACTACCCCTGCCGCCTGTCTGGCCCGAGGCAGCACTGACCCTGGATGACAGTCAGCACAGTGTGGGGCCGGTCTAGAGAGATGGCCAGGCCCAGCGCCCGCAGGTATCGCTTCTCGTGGAGCAGGTTGTCCAGTTCTTGTTGCCTGGTGGGGGAAGGAGGGAACAGGACCACTTGGGGACCTGGCTAGGGCTGAAGGCAGAGCCATCAGAGGCTGGCTGAGGAGTCTGCAGCCCGGGCCTGAGCACCCGCTGGGGGTGAGCTGTGTTGCTGCTCCGAGCCTTGGTTTCCCCAAGCTATAGAGAGAAGGGACGCCAATGTGCCCTACTCCAAGGGGCGGGGGTGATGCTAACGCATCGGACTTGCCGTGAGGGGTTGGGTGGAGACCCCCAACTCACTTGACCACCTGCTCCTCTCTCTTGGCCTGCTCCTCTGCCTGCTCCGCCTCGGTCACATCCTGGGGTCAGACTGGGGTCAGACTGGCACACCCACGCTGTCCTGCCCACTGTCCCCCCACCCCACCCCAGGCCACACACCTTCCAGAGGATGACGCAAGAGTCGCTGGCGCCGGTGAGGGCATGGTCATCCAGCCGGCTGCAGTGCAGACCCCAGACCTTGTCCTCGTGGGCGTCCAGCGTCCTCACACACTCATTGTTCTTGATGGTCCAGAGCTTCACAAGCCCATCAGAGCCGCTGTGTTCAGGATTGGGAGGGGGCTCAGCCCTGGGGCCTGCCCCTAGCTCACCCCTAACCCTGCCCCGCCCTCACCCACTCACCTGGACAGCAGCTGTGTGCCGCGGCTCACAAATGCCACCTTCAGCACAGAAGCATCATGTCCCTCAAACGTCTGCAGGGTGGGGAGAGGGGAGGTGTGAGGTGTCACCAGGTAGGGGGCCAGGCCTGGGCTGAGGGAGGCTTACCTTGAGGCAGCTGAAATCCTGCAGTGCCCAGAGCTTGACAGTGCCATCGGCCGAGGCCGTAGCCAACACCTGGTCCATGGGCGAGAATTGGACACACCAGAGGCCACGCCGGTGGCCCGAGAAGACGCCCAGCAACTGGCACCGTGGGAGGGTCCAGAGTTTGGCCGTGCGGTCCTGTGACCCCGTGGCCAGCAGCTTGTCGTTGGGGGCGATGGCCACACTATTGATGTCCTGGTGGTGGGAGCAGGCAGCAGCTCAGATCCCCATCCCAGCAAGGCCCCTGCTACGACCCCACCTGTGTGCTGCGTGCGGTCACCTTGTCGTGGCAGTGCTGCGTGGCCTGGGCCTGTAGGAGGACAGGTCCACCATCGGGGCCTGTGCTCTTGGATGGCAGGGCTTCGGGGAGGGGCCACAGCTTCACAGTGCAGTCCTGGCTGCCCGTCACCAGGAAGGTCTCCTTCAGCCTGAGGCCCGATTTGGGGGAGGGGGAGACACCTGCTGAGCCCTGGCCAGCCCTGTCTGCAGCACACCACAGCTCAAGCCTGTCAGACCTTGGTCCAAACCAGAAAGACTGTCCCGGAATGTGAACTAATGTGCCACCGCCTTAACACCTCTGGCACCACTTGCTTCCACTCGAGTCTGCACTGCCTGCCCTCAGTGCTGTCAAACCTGGGGACTTGGTCCCAACAATGGGAGCCCCAGGCCTAAAGAGCACCCTCTCCCCCTGGATGCTGCTTAGTTTCATTGTCCCTGGTCTAACACCCCTCCCCTTTTATCCACACAACCTTAAGATCACTTCTCAGGAGCCTCCTACAGTGGCATCTGAGGATGCCCCAGCCCCTGTTCTCTAGTCCACATTCCTAGGCTGGAGACTCAGAGAGCAAGGCAAAACCCGCCTCTGCCTCCGTGACACCCCGGACCCCAGCCCTGAACCACTACCTTGAGCAACAAATGGTGCCCACGCTGTGTGTGTGTCCAGAGCCCTGAGCCACACAGGCCACCTCGCCTGCCTTGTTCATCCTCCAGACGCAGATGCTCTGATCCTGGGGATGGGATGGGTGAGGAGAGGCTGGGCTGGGCTTCCTGACCCAGGACCCTGTCCCCCATACCTCTCGTGGTGCTTCACCTTGGCACAGCTAACGAAGAGCCACCCCTTCCGGAACACATCTAGGGCCAGGACAATATCTAGAAAAAGGTGGAGAAGAAATGGCTAGAGAACAGCTATGGCAAAGCGGGGCAATCCAGTCCTGGGTGAAGTCCGGGGGCGCTGGCCTGGCGCCCTCACCTGTGTGGCCGTGGAGAATCTGGCAGGCGGACGTCTGCAGCTCAAACACTTTCAGGCAGGGGCTGTTAGAGGCCACCACAACGTGGGAGTCCTTGGGCCCGAGGAACCGGACGTCCAACACCTCCTCACTGTAGCCGGCAAACTGTGGGGGCAGGAGGGACACAGGCCAGGGCCTGTGTGAGTGGAGGGCTGGCATCCTGGGCTGTGGGCCGAGCAGGGGCAGTGCTTGCTCACCTGTTTCTGCAGCTGCAGGGAGCGGGCCTCATAGAGAAGCAGGTTGTGGTCAGCAGTGACGCTGAGGAGCAGGCCAGCGGCTCGGGCCAGGGTGCAGTGGGTCAGCTCCCGCCCAGGGCCTGGCAGCTGCCGTTGTGCATGGACACACTGCCCAGAGGCCGCCTCCCACACGCGCAGCGTGCCTGTGTGGGGACAAGGGCCGCTGGGACTCACGGATCCACAGGCCTCCATTACCCCTGCTGCCCGCCCTGGCCTGGCCCCACCCACCTTGGTCGCCAGCTGTCAGGAAGTGCAGGCCCACAGACTTCACACCCAGCTCCGGCGCCGGCTCCTCTGGCAACAGAACTGCAGCCTCCACACTCTGAGGACGAGCAGGTCAGAGGTGGCAGCCCCGCATCCCACCCCGCCCCACTCAATGGCCCTGGCGCCCCACCTCAAACACCGGCACGGTCCTTGTGGCCTGGAGGCTCTGCAGGTCCCAAACAATGCAGATCTTGTCACGGCCTGAGCTGGGGGGAAACAGCCACCTCAGTTCCCAAGTCTCAGCTGTGGCCGTCCCTTTCCTGCCAAGGCCTGGGTAGCTGGCCACTGACCTGAGCATGGTGTGACCATCGGCACTGAAAGTCAGAGAAGTGACAGCGCTGTAGTGGGCAGTCAGCATGGCCAGGCACGACCGGTCCTGCAGCGACCACACGCGGATGCTGGTGTCTGCGGCTGAGGAGAATAGGAGCAGGCGTGCGGGGTCCGGGTGGAAGGCCACCAAACTGCAGGCAGGTGGGGTGGGGCTGGTGAGCTATGCCACCCTGACTGTGACGCCCCACCCACCCGCCCTCCGCCACCCCTACTCACTGTATGACACCCGGTGAGCCCCGAAAGTGGTGTGTCCCATAGTGCTGCACGACATCCCAGACACGCACGGCCCCATCACAGCCGCCTGTGGGAATGTATTCGAGGTGCGGGGGCTGTATGCCCAAAGCCCCCTGCCTGGCTCTAGCCGCTCCCTCTACCCAGCCGGGGTCCTACCTGTGGCTAACAGTGTGGAGGTGGGGTCGAAGGCCATGGTGGCCACAGGGGCTGTGTGTATTGCCTTCCACAGGCGGGTGATGCTGCCCTCTTGCCAGGCCCACTGAGCCAGCAGCAGTGCCCGGCTGGCTGTCACCAGCACCTGGGGGAGCACGCAGTTCAGCTGGGGGCAGAGGCATGGACGCCATCCTCATCAACTCTGGTTGGGAGGTACCAGAGCCCATCTCTTGTCCCGGTCCCATATACCTTGTCATCGGGGCTGAGATCAAAGGCAGTGATGTCCTCCTGGTCCTCCTGGGGCGAGAGTGAATGCACGGGGTGCCATGAGAATAGGCTGCCCCCCACACCAGCCCCTTACCCTGACCCTCCCCCGCCCTCACCTGCTCCAGGCTCTGCAGCATAGTCCCCGAGGCCACATCCAGGATGTTGACTCTGGTGCCACAGACACAGAAGAGGTGCTGCCCAGTCTGATCCAGCTAGTGACAAAGGGGTCTCAGTCAAGGTAACACTTTTCAGCCCCTGCCTGCCCCACCACTCTGCTCCCCTAGGCCAGTACCTGCACCTTCCCGCCCTTGTAGAAAGGCTCGATCTTGCGCTCGACAGCATAGCTGGAGGAGAGACGGGGAGAGAGTGAACCACCCACCCCTTGGTCCTCAGTGCCCAGCCCTGCGCTAGGTGATCCCCTAGAGATCAACCCAATAGGGCCCTGCCCTTGAGGAGTTCCTGGGTAGCAGCAGGGATGCAGGAGGCATGAGGGAGGAAGAGTGACGAGCTCTTCTACTGTTCCTTTCTTTAACTCTCTCAGCTGTACTGTGAGATGGGTGTTGGTACCCCCATGTTACAGAAGATTTGGGACCCTGGGCTGGTCCGTGATCCACACGGGTCCCAGGGCAGTCCAAGTCTTCCCAGACTCCCCGGGTATGGAGGAAGCCAGGCTTTGGGGGCCCCCTGCTGGCCATGAGAGGCCAGGCTTGGGTACCAGCCCAGAGCAACATCCTCTTCAACATCCTCCTCAACACTTTCATCCCTGAGGTCCAGCCTGCTCTTTCCCCAAGCCCGGCTCCTTCCTCCATCTCACTCTCTGAGCAGATTCTCATTTCAGCAAAGGTGTCACTGTCCTCTCCCCTCCCTCTTGGCTACTTCCATGCTGGTCCAAGCCACTGCACTCTCCTCTCCGGGGAGCTGCTCCAGCCTCTTCATTTGGTCCCTATCACTCTCTCAAACCCTGCTCCCAGAGAGGCCTTCTAGAGCATAACTCTGTTCATGTCATCACCCTGCCTTAAAGTCCTCTACTCTCCTTACACGTTTACGAGACCCTGCCTCGAGGGGTGTCTCCTGACTCTTTGTGTTCACATGGGCTGTTCCCTGTATGTGGCCCGGGTCTCTCTTCCCGAATTTCAAAGGTGCCTGGATGACTCCGCTGGAGGAAGCCTGACAGCCAAGATGAAACGGAGCCCCCCTGAACCCACTCGACCATCCAACAGATGGTCTCGGCATCAGGGCTACCCCTTGCTAATGCGTGTCACAGGCCCTGATAGAAACGATTTGCTTAATATGTTTATCCCACCAGACTGCTGCACAGGGCGAGGCTGAGTGTGTCTGGTCCCGGGCACTGAGCACTTAGATGTTCAGCGTAAGTGTGGGGGTTGAAAAAGCACGGGATTGAGAGCTTCCTGGCCACGGAGGACCAGCCCATCTCCTGACCTCTCTTCCTGCTCCCCGGAGAAGAGGGACAGCAGATGAAACCCCCCAGGCCGCCTGCCCCAGAGGTGGTTCTTCTCCTGCTACCTGAGCGCTGGGGAGTCCCGCTCCCGTCCAGGACCAGCCTCGACCTGTGCTCAGTTCGCCCCTTCCTCCCTCTCTCGGATTTCTTGTCCCCCTCCCCCTCCCCAAACCGGCTCCAAGTTTAAGTAGCGGAAGCCAGCTGCACCCGGTGGGACTCCAGTGCCCGCCCTCCGAGAGCAGTCAGTGCCGGCTCTCCCGCGAGGACGCCGCGGGCCTGTCCGTATCCAGCCCTCACCCCCTCCCCAAATGGGTGCAGGACCCACGCCAGGCGCCTTCGCTACTCCGGCAGCGAAGCCGGCTCCCTCCCCGGCGGAGCCCCGGCTCACTTGGACTTGAAGCGGCCCACTCCGGCTGCCGCCTCCGCCATGTCGCCGCTGCCGCCGCCGCCGCGTGAAGGAGACCTGGGCGCGACACCACACTGTCGGCGCCGGGGGATGGCGTCACCGCCGGCAACTACTGTGACGTCACCAGCGCTACGGCCTCGGCGACATCTTTGCTGAGGGCAGCGGAGCGGCGTCAGGAAGCGGAAGATGGCAGAGGCGTTTCCGGCCTCGAGGGCGGGCTGTAGAACAACGTGGAAGCGGCTGGGGTCGACTGGCAGTGTGCTGGGGTCTCTAGCTGCCTGTCGTTTTACTGGACTTTTTTTTTTTTTTTTTTTTGCGGTACGCGAGCCTCTCACGTTGCGGGAGACAGGCTCCGGACGCGCAGGCTCAGCGGCCATGGCTCACGGGCCCAGCCGTTCCGCGGCACGTGGTATCTTACTCCGGGACACGAACCGTGTCCCCTGCATCGGCAGGCGGACTCTCAACCACTGCGCCACCAGGGAAGCCCTTACTGGACATTTAAAAAGGTATTCGGGAACGTCCCTGGTGGCGCAGTGGTTAAGAATCCGCCTACCACTGCAGGGGATATGCGTTCGAACCCTGGTCCGGGAAGAACCCACATGCTGCAGACCAACTAAAGTTAAACCCCTGCGCCTCAACTACTGAGCCTGCGCTCTAGAGCCCGCAAGCCACAACTACGGAAACCTGTGCGCCTAGAGCCCGTGCTCTCCAACAAGAGAAGCCACTGCAATGAGACGCCCACTTACCGCAAGAAGAGTAGACCCGGCTCGCCGCAGCAAAAGGCTGTGCGCATCTTTATTTATAAATAAATAAATAAATGTATTAAAAAAAAGCAAAAAAGGTATTCGTAGGAAATGTTTACTAAAGTAATCCCAAGACTCCTGCCCCCTTGGCATTCTGGGATTTGGGGCAAGAGTGGTCAGGTGTGGTGAGTTAGCAGATACAGCTTGTGAATCGGGCTCTGCCTTAGGGCTTCCGGTATAGTATGAGAAATAACGCAGGTAAATTAATAAATCGGGTGATTTCAGAGTCGTTCAAATATTGATTGAGCACATTCCACGTGCAAAGCACTGTTCTAGGCACTTGGGAGACACCACAGAAGCCGGTGAGCCAGTGTGAAGAACTAGTGGGAAAGACCTTGGAAAGGTTCAGGGAAACAGGCCAAGATGTCCCTTTCAGATGAGGTGAGTAATGCCTGGAGGGGAAGGCGTGAGGCCAGCAAGCACAGCGGTGGTGAGGCGGCCAGGCCGGGGCTCTGCGTTTATTTACTCCTCTATTTACAAGGTAGCTTGGCCCTGGGCCCCCCACATCTCAGCCCCAATACTGCCTTCTGGGGGGGGGTCTCAGCCTCCTCTTGCGGGGCGCCCAAGAGCAGGGCGTCATCTTCCTCCAGTAACTCTCCGAGCTGGGCCAGCTGCCGGCGGATGAGGTTGGCAGACCGGTACACCTTGCGCATGCGCCGTAGCAGACACAGCACCAGGGTCCGGCTGCGCTCCTGGCGCTGGCACCAGGCCTTGCGCAGCTCACGGTAGCAGTTGTGGCTTGCGCGTTCTGCCGGGCCCAGGGTGGCCCCGCAGCCCAGGGGGCAGCGCTGATGGGCACCATGCTGGCAATTCTGCCGGTGCTCGGCCAGGTTCCCACGAGGCACCCGCGATGTGCACCCCTCGTTGGGACAGGCCATCAGCTCGAAAGGGCATGAGTCCTGGTGCCCCTTCCGATGGGCCAGGGGGCACGTCACCAGGCAGCCAGCTTCGGCGTTCTTGCACTGGGGGTGGAGGAGAGCATCGTGTGAGCCAAACCAGGTGAGGCACTGCCAGCCATGAGCCGGCTGCCCCCCATAGAATCCCCCATCCATGGCATTCCACTGAGCAGGAACCACTGAACTGGGAGCCTCCCAAGCTCTTATGTACCACTGGCTTGGTGGAGAGAGGGAAACAGTGGAGCAAATGCTTGGAGGTGGGAAAAATCTAAATCTCTGAGAGGGGGGGCAGGACCTGAGGTTTAGAGAACAGAGAGTTACACGGTTGGGTTGGTCTGGTGGATTGTTTGTATGCCAGTTTTTTTTTTTTTTTTTGGTTCCACTGTGTGGCTTGTGGGATCTTAGTTCCCCGACCAGGGATTGAACCTGAGCCATGGCAGTGAAAGCACTGAATCCTAACCACTAGACCATGAGGGAACTGCCCAGTCAGGTTTTTTAAAAAAAAATCTCAATTTCCCCATCTATAAAACTACGGGGCTGGAGAGTAATAGGCAGCACAACAGACACTCCATTCTCTATAATCCCCATTTTACAGCTGGGGCTACTGAAAGGTTAGGTAACATGCCCAAAGTCACCCAGCAAGTAAGTGGTAGAGAAGTGACTCAAATTCAGCCAAGTCTGATGACCTCAAGGAGGGCAGTCTGTTGGTGTAGAAACTCTCAGTTCTGAGAATGGGATTCTTTTCAACCCCTCTCCTGGCTCTGCTCCCCACCCCTACAGGGGTGAGGAGGGTAGGGTGGTGGGAGTGGGTGTTTTGAGCTACCTTGACTTCCAGGCGGCCAATGATCTTCCGGAGTTTATTCACATGGACCATCTTTTTCTGTTTCACCTCTTTCCTGCAACACGGACAGGTCTTTTGCCTAGGAGACATGAGTGGGGGTGATTATTGGGAGTGGGAGGAGAGCAAGTGGCAGCAACATGCCTCCCCTGGTGGTCCCTCCTTCTCTTTAGCTGGAAGAGACATAAGAGGGCATTATAGGGAGCTCTCAGCTCTGAGGCTGGGGCTAAGGGTTGCAGATACCACAGGGTGACCAGAGTCACATACATTAGTGTCCCAGGAGATTTGGCAGCTGAACTTTATGGCCGTCATGACCCAGTGCTTGGCTGACCTTCCTCTCTGTTCTGGGCCCCAGGAATGGCTCCCAGCCCCACCCCTGCCCTCCCAGCCTTTTGGGTGCCCAGTAGCACCTGGCTAGCCACGGGAGGATGCACCTCTTGCAGAAGATGTGGCTGCATGGCAACCTCATCGGCCTCTTGAGAACTCCATGGCAGACAGAGCACAGGAAGTTGCAGTCGGGAGGGCTGGTGAAGAGGTTGAGATCATACCCGCCACTCTGCAAAGGCCAGGCCAGCATTAGGGCCTGGCTGGGACCAGGATCTGGCTCCCCACTCCACATGCCCAGAGAAGGACCCCAGGAAGCTTTGGGTGGGAGGTGGGCCACATGAGAGCCCCAAGTGGAGGGCTGGGTCAGCGCCCACTATGAGGCGACAGTGGTGAGGGTCAAGACCCCCCCATGACTACCAACCTCCAGCTGTAGAAGCTGGCCTTGGCCTGGAGTTAACACTTGCCCAGAGGGACTTCCCTGATGGCGCAGTGAATAAGAATCTGTGCTCCCAATGTAGGGGGCCCGGGTTTGATCCCTGGTCAGGGAACTAGATCTCACATGCATACTGCAACTAAGAGTTCTCAAGCCTCAACTAAGGAGCCCGTGAGCCGCAACTAAGACCCAGTGCAACCAAATAAATAAATACTATTTAAAAAAAAAAAGACTTGGCCAGAGCCCTCTGAAAGGTTTCCGTGTCCTATTTGGGAGCTTGTACCCCACTGTGCACATCATCTTAGTGAGGAATGGGGTCCAGCTCTGGACAGGTCTAAATGCTCACCATGATCTCTGGATGGCAGCTCCACTGACCGCTGGGGCTCAGGAGCCTCCATTTCATAGCAGGAGCAGGCCGACATCACAGTGGCATTGTCCAGCTCAGGCCAATCACAGCCCTGGTCCAGGGCACCACCTGGCTCTTGCTCCCCTCTCAAGAGTCACAGGGCACCCCAGAGCCGGGATAGGTCTCTGGAGCCCCTGCCTTGCCTCTGCCTTGGGGGTGGCTGACAGCCATCTTCAAATAGCACTAAGGCTGGAACCAAGCTTCCAGGGGCTATTTCCTCAAAGCTGAGGCTCCAGCAGTAGCGCAGGGACTGTTCCCCTCTCCTTCCTCAAATAGGCTGCCCAGGTGGCCAGATCCCCAAGAGCTCAGGGGGCTTTAGACATTGACTCATCATCAGGTCTCTTAGGATCAGAGACCTATGGAGCTAGCTCCAGGGTACAAACCAGGAGTGAGGACCAGATTTCCGTGGTACTGCAGCAGGAACCTAGCATGTGGGAGAGCCTCCCAGAGCAGGTAGGCTGACCACCTGGGTAGGCCTATAAGGAAAGGTGTGGGGAAACCAATTTCCATGTGTGAGGCACAGAACAGTGAACTGCAGTTTCAATACCACTGAGTGTTGAGCTCATCAAATCCTAAAGGCCCTAACCCTTTCCTGAGAGCAATAGGGAGCCACTGCAAGCCTCTGAGCTGCAAGTCTTACACTCTCACTCTTGTTAGTGTTTTGCTGATCCAGCCTGACTCACCTCAAGCTCAAGGTACTTTACATGCTGATGTAGAAGATACGGGGTATGGGTAGAAATAATATGGTTTCAAACCTGGCTCTGCCGCTTTTAGAGGGTGGGATCTTAGAAATCACTTGCCAACCTTCAAGACCGGGTTCTACCCCTGCGTGGCATCCAAAGCAGAGTTGAGCGGGCCAGGAAGGTGTCCCACAAAGGTCTCCCTCCACAGCACACCTCGGTTCCCACGTCAGCAGATGCGTTTTCCAGGATGGTAGTCGGGAGTTCAAGAACACCCACACACGGATGAATCAGATCAACAGCTTTATTGAAAAACGAAAGCAGAGCCCCCCCTTCCCCCCCCCGGTCATGGCGGCGTCGGCCTCAGGCTCTGAGCATCCAGGTATCCTAAGGGTAGAAGACGAGATCAGGGATCAGGTACCAGAATCCGGAACATGAGAGCGGCCGCAACCGGGCCCGGAGCGGCGGCGCGTGTCGGGGCCTGGGTTTCACCTCCCCACACGGAGGAGCGGGCGGTGAGCTGTGGCCCCCGGTGGCTCTGGGCGCCGAGTCTCACCTGCGGCCACGGCCAAAGCCGCAGGTGATTTTCAGCCAACGCCGATCTCCCAACCACCCCACAGCGCCGCAAAGTGCCAGGCAGAAGTACCTAATGAACAGACCTACCTGCAGCCGGAGAAGACGAGGTACAGGCCGAGCTGTCCCTTATAGCAGCGTCCCAGTCGCGCAGATTCCGGGGCCGCGGACACGCAGGCACTCGCCGAGCTCGACGGGGGCGGGGCCCCTCGGAGCCAATCACAGGCCGTTTTATAGGCCCTTGGCGCAAGAGCGATTGGGGTGGGGCAGCCGAGATCTCGCGGCGCTTGGCGCTATATAAAGACTCCCTTGGGGGTGGCGTCCTTCTTTTTTTCCGTAAAAACACGTGAGTGTTCGCGTTAGTAGCTGCGGCTGGTGGGCCTGGGCGGTGGGAATCCGCCGCCATCAGGCGGGGTCCGGGCTGGTGCGCCCGCGCTGTGGGGCTGAAGCCCGGCCTGGGCGTCCGAGGTGTCCGTAGATGCCAGGGCTTCACTGACCGGCTGGTTCTTGTTACTCTTTTTAGCAAATGGCGGATGACGCCGGTGCTGCGGGAGGCCCCGGAGGCCCCGGAGGCCCCGGGGTCCCTGGCATGGGAAGCCGTGGTGGCTTCCGCGGAGGCTTCGGCAGCGGCGTCCGGGGCCGGGGCCGGGGCCGGGGTCGCGGTCGGGGCCGAGGCCGCGGAGCTCGCGGAGGCAAGGCCGAGGACAAGGAGGTAGGTCTGCGCTATGCGCGTGAAGCGGGGCCTTGGACGGCACCGGGAAGGCGGTCCTGGGCACCTGCTGCGCCTTTTCCTCTTCCAGTGGCTCCCCGTCACCAAGCTGGGCCGCTTGGTCAAGGACATGAAGATCAAGTCCCTGGAGGAGATCTATCTATTTTCTTTGCCCATCAAGGTAAACATAGGTTCTCTTTTTCTTGGGTGGGGCCTTGGCCTAGCTGGGGTCGAGGGAGCTTTGTCACTGGTTGGACATTGAGGGGTTCTAGGCTCCACCTTTGGTTTTATTAAAGTTTTGTCACAAATTTTTTTCTTGTAGGAATCTGAGATCATTGACTTTTTCTTGGGGGCATCTCTCAAGGACGAGGTTTTGAAGATCATGCCTGTGCAAAAGCAGACCCGTGCTGGCCAGCGGACCAGGTTCAAGGTACCCCAGCTATCTTATTTTCCTAGGCTGTTTCTATCAAAGACTTTTGTGAGACTCTCTCAGCTCTGCATGGTTGCGCTTGTGTTCATGGGTGTGACTTTCGTAATGGGGAGAGAGAGAAAGGATCTCCTCAGGATCTCAGATAGGTCTCCTGGTGGCCAGTCTTTCCTTGAGGGGCACAACAGACCCTGTGCGGTGGGTGGCTACTGACGTTATGAAGGGCAGTGGACCACCAGCCACGTCAGTCTCTTTGCAGGCGTTTGTCGCCATCGGGGATTACAACGGACATGTTGGTTTGGGCGTGAAGTGCTCTAAGGAGGTAGCCACTGCCATCCGTGGGGCCATCATTCTGGCCAAGCTCTCCATCGTCCCCGTGCGACGAGGCTACTGGGGGAACAAGATCGGCAAGCCTCATACCGTCCCTTGCAAGGTAGGCTGGATGGTGGTGCGTGGCAGGGCCTGCAGTGGTGCAGACTCTCCAGCCCATCTCCTGACTCTACCCCTTCCCAGGTGACTGGTCGCTGTGGCTCTGTGCTGGTGCGCCTCATCCCTGCCCCCAGGGGCACTGGCATCGTCTCAGCCCCTGTGCCCAAGAAGCTACTGATGATGGCTGGAATTGACGACTGCTACACCTCTGCCAGGGGCTGCACTGCCACGCTGGGCAACTTCGGTAGGTGGCCCACATGTAGACTCTGGCTTCTCTCAGCTCTGCTCAGTCACATTCTTTGTGTGGTTGGTGTATTTTGAGAGAGAGAGGAAGGCTCTCCTAATGCACGACAGATTGGCCCACAGTGGTCTCTCTGTTCCTAGGAGTGCGACAGCTTCTTGCTATAACTGGGGGTTCATCTCAGGTCAGTTCACTAATCCTCTCCTATTTTCCCTTTTTCAGCCAAGGCCACTTTTGATGCCATTTCCAAGACCTACAGTTATCTCACTCCTGATCTCTGGAAAGAGACAGTGTTCACCAAGTCTCCGTATCAGGTACTGCCTGCCCCGCTACCCTGTTAGGCAGGCCGGGCAAAGCAAAGGGTAGCAGTCTATTTGGTTACAACTAAAGCCTCTTGTTTTTCTAGGAATTCACTGATCATCTTGTAAAGACCCACACCAGAGTTTCTGTGCAGAGGACCCAGGCTCCAGCTGTAGCCACCACATAGTTTTCTATAAGAAAAATAAAGTGAATGAAGCTAGTTTATAGTTGTCTCTTGTTTTTTTTGGGGGGGGGGCGTACCATGAAGCTTGTGGGATCTTAGTTTCCCGACCAGGGGTTGAACCTGGGCCCCCAGCAGTGAAAGTGCAGAGTCCCTAACCACTGGACCATCAGGGAACTCCCTATTCTCAAGTTCAGTGGTGGCTGAATTTGGAAGGGAAATGGGGCCAATAAGGTGAGAAATCTGAATAAGGCTTATCAATGTGTCAAGGTTGGGAGCTAAAGATGACACCACAGAGATTCCATTACTCTTTATTTTAGCAACAGCGACAGACACATGAGGTGGCTCGAGCTGCCTCAGGCAGCAGCAGCCTCTTTGGTGGCTTTTCTCTCTGCCAGCATCCTCTGCTTCTGTTTTGCCAGGCACTTCCTGGCAGAATAATGGGCCCCCAGGTCATGATCTGGGAAAGAGAGATGGGGAGGGGAGTCATAGGCCATGATGGGAATTTGTGGTCTTTTCTCCATGCAGGGAGGGCTCGGGCAGCTAAAACAAGTTATTGAGCAGATAAGGGATGAGGTGAGGTGGTTTTCTTTTACAACCACCAGAGATTGGGCTAATTAGCAAAACGTCTAGTACCCAGCTCTGTGGAGACTGGAAGGAGGACTGGGAAGTGAGGTGGCAGAAGCAGGAGTAGCTGGGGGCAGGCTGGGGTGGAGCTGACTCACAGCGGTCCTGGTAGGCCTTGGCCACCTGGGTGAACTGCTCCAGCTCCTTGGTACAGTTCTGCCTGTAGCTCTCACCTTCCCTCTGCTGACAGGCCTTTAGCCTTTCCTGGATAATGTTGACGATTTCCTGATCAACTTTGCTGAAAGGAAAATGAGAAAGGTGAACAACAGGGGTCCCCAACCCCCAGGGCCGTGGACCGCTACCGAAGCTTCATCTGCCACTCCCCATCGCTCGCATTACTGCCTGAACCACCCCCCCCCCACCGCCACCCCGTGGAAAAACTCTTCCATGAAACTGGTCCCTGGTGCCAAAAAGGTTGGGGACCGCTGGTCTTAAGGTCTATAAGGATTCCCTGTACTCAGGGAAAGTAAAATGAAGGCAGGGCCTGGGAGCCCTGTGGTCTGGCCTCTCCACCCCTAGATCTGGGTTGGCCACCATCTCATGGCATCCGGAGGGAATATGCTCATTGCACAGGGATCACAGTAGTATTCACTGACTAAGAGCAGAAGCCCAAAGGGGAGGACTTACTAGTCTCTTCTCCATTGCATTTCTGCTTCAAACATGCACAATATGTCCTTTTCCTTGCACTCAGTGATGTCCGGCACGCGGCGGAACTCACGGTGGTAGTAGTAATACCTGTTCTTGGCATGCTGCCGCTCTATAAACTCTGCAAAGAGAAAACCCCAGGCCCAAAGGCCTTATTGGTTTGGAGAAGCCACAGTTTGAAAGGGCTCTTAGCTTTGTATTTCTCATAAGCCGTGGAAGAGGCAGGTTTCCCAAATGTTCCCAGCTTTTACAAAGACTGGCAATTGAACTCCCAAAGAAGAGGTGTGGGCTGGCACAAAGTCCTGGAAAGGACTGGGCTACAAATGGCAATGTCTACGGTTTATGGAGAGTTTCTTGTAAGCCAGGAACCACCCTGTGTTGCATAATACATTAACTCACTTTGTCCCCACGATAACCCTATGGGGGGCAGGTCCTTTTCATTTACAGAGAGGAGACCCAGGCTCTGAGAGATGGCAGGATTCAGAGCCTGTTCTCTGCAAGCCCACACCCTGCTACAGTCCCTCCTGCCGGCCCAGCTCCGCCAGAGCACGGGGATTCCACTGTGGAGGCAAACAGGCCCCAACAGGGAGCCACCAGCAGGGATTCCAGTCCCAGTTCTGCTACTGCTGACCTTCCGGCCTCAACTTCCCCATGGGTAAATGAACAAGTTGGACCTAGTGAGATCTCATCCATCCAGACATATAAAACACTTTCTAAAAAACTGCTATACAAAAGAGGAAGCAGATCCACTACTGTTTTTTCCAGACCTTGGGGCGGGGTGGGGTGGGGTGGGGGTGGTTCCTCCCCCCACAAAGAGCCACCAGAGCATACTATGCACCCCAAATGTTCTGTTGTTGAATGAATGGATTGATTAATTAGGTGCATGGATGAATCGCCTGGCACTAGTGACTAAGGGCATTATGCTCTGCCTGCTGCACCACCAAGATGGCTGAACCACAAACTGGACAACGATGGTTTAAAACGTTCACCTAGTTTGGACCAGAGATGGCAGAATTTGGGCAGCTCTCAAGCGTGGACACACACGGAGGGCAAGTTACAGCACACGTGGGTGGAAGGGGCCTCGGCCATCAATGACCACCCGGGCCATTTTGCAGGCATGCAAAGGGTTGGGAGAACCCCTGTACCTCAACAGCCCTCTGTGACCGCCTACTGTGCAAAACGCAGGATGCAAAGCGTGCAGGGAGAGTGGGATCTAACAAGCCTCAGGACGCAGATGACTTCGATCAGCAAACAGCCCCCTAACATTTGAGCGAGGCCGGAGACCAGGGGTCCGTGGACGGCGGCAGGGGCCATACAGCAGTGAGGGCTCTTGGTGTGTGTGTGGCGGGGTCGTCCCAAGAGGTGAGGCCTGGGATGCAGTGGGGATCCAGGCTGAGTGACGGGTGCGGGGGGCCCGGGAGCGGTGGGGGGCCCCGGGGCGCAAGGCCCGGCTGGGGCTCGTACCTCTCGCGAGGGTCACTGGCCGATCCACGAGGAGGTCGAAAGCCTTCGTAAAATAGGTG